AAAAAAAAAAAAAAAAAAAAAAAAAAAAAAAAGAAAAAGAAAAAATAATGGTATCATAAATCTTTAGAGAATTAAAACTAGCTTACCTTTCATTTACTAGGGCTTCCCATTAAAAAAATAGAAGAAGTTAGGATAAAGTTAAGTACTAAAAAAGTACATAATATTTAAAGTGAAGCTTCCTCGGCGATTGGAACCGGTGGCGATCCGAAACCGGTATCGTTGGCCAACTGTCTTTTTTGAGCACGCGCCAATATCTTCCTCATTTGGTCTCCGTGTCTCATCGGCGTTCCAGCTGTCCGCCACGTCATCACTCACTCATTTTTATATATATACTCCCCCTTCTTTCTCCCGCTTCCCCGACCAAATCCACGTCACTCAAACTCTCTCTTCTTTACTGCCATGTCATCCTACCGCCCCGCCGTCTTCCGCAGCATCACCGAGGAGCAGGAGGTCTCTATCATCGTCGACGCCCTCACCCACGTCATCTCCGGCGCCGCTGCTTCCGGTCTAGAGTTCCGCCACGACGATTTCCTCCGCCGCCTCCTCCTCCCGCCTTCTACTGACAATACCGCCGCCGCCTTCTCGGGTTCTTCAGATTTCGACACGTGTCAAGACTGCAGAATCAACGGCTGCTTGGGCTGCCACTTCTTCTCCACCCCCTCCTCCTCCTCCTCCTCCTCCACCCGCCGTATCAGACGCCTGAAGAAAAATTACAGAGGCGTCCGCCTGCGCCCATGGGGCAAATGGGCCGCCGAGATCCGCGACCCGAAACGTGCGACCCGAGTCTGGCTTGGTACCTTCAACACCGCCGAGGACGCCGCACGTGCCTACGATGAAGCCGCCATTAAATTCCGCGGCGCACGTGCCAAACTCAATTTCCCCCTCCCTGGCAATTCATCGACGACTTCCACAACCACCTCCGCCGTCAATGAACCGGCAGTAGCTCCAAGAGCATCGCCGATGAAAATGGAGACGAAACACTACACCTTACCCGAGATTTTCAAGGTTGACGACGACGACGACATTCAACGATTGATCAATGACTTTGCAGGCCATTCACGAAGCTAATAAAATCCAAACCATTGAGAAAATTCTTTCAATTAATTAGCTTTTTTACAGTTAGTGAAAGAATTTCCTCATAATCAAATTATTTGTTTTTAAACAATTGTTAGAATGAAATTAAAAAATTCCTTCTTTTTACTAGATATCCAAAACAGTGCAATCATGTTACGCCACGTGTACAAGTAAAAGACACACGTGCTTAATTGAAGATCTTAAGTCAATTAAATCAGAATTAACACGGATCCATACTTAGCTCGTGATTAATTACTATATAAAAATTAAAATAAAATAAAATAATAAAGGAAAACCCACCTGAAAAGAGAGAGAAAAAGAATATAATTATTAAGATTAGTTGGTCAAATAAATGAAGTGCTGCGGATTTTCTTGGTGGGTTGATATACTCGGCCACGTTGAATCGGGTTTTTAATTACGCGGTCCACTCTTAACGGCACAAACCGTTTTAACGTCCCGTTTCCTTTGATACGTCCGTGCACTTATCTTTTATTATTATTTAAAAAATATTGTTTTATTTTATCCTAAAAATGAAAATTAAAAAACTAAAATAATCAATTTTAAAAAAAAGGAATCAAAGTTATGAAATTAAATGTTTATAATTAAAATGGGTGAAACCAGATACCGAATTACAAAGGAAAATAATCGCGCCAGGTAGGGATCGAACCTACGACTTTCTGCTTAGGAAACAGACGCTCTATCCACTGAGCTACAGGCGCTTTATGTTAAATAGTTATAATTAATATTTCTCCAACCAAAATCGGAGAAACAAAAGAAAAAAGCGCGCCAGGTAGGGGTCGAACCTACGACTTTCTGCTTAGGAAACAGACGCTCTATCCACTGAGCTACAAGCGCTTTCGATTATAATTTAACATAGTTAATTTAGTTTTCTTCATCTTCATCGTACAGTACGACGTGTCAGTTCTTCCTCGTGCCAAAATCGCCATTTTCATGCACCCATTCTGTCTCCTTGATTCTCAACAAGAATCTGCACAAAACAGAACAAAAAGGGAAAAAAGAAGACCCATCTTTCTCTGGTGGAGTAAAATCCCCCCTCTCCACCACAAAGGGATTCAATGAAAAAATCCAGAAAAAACAAGATGACCCTTCTCATTTCCATCTTCTTCTTCCTCCTCCTCCTCCTCCGCCTCTCCACCGCCGCTCCACCCGGTCCTCGAGGTACCCCATTTCTTTTCACATTACTCTCTGCAAATCCACGATTTCATTGACTAATTCTGTAACCCCATCTCGTTTTCCCCCCAAATATTTGCAGGGTATCTTCTCAATTGCGGTGCCTCCCAATTGGCCCCCAAGGTGACCGTCGGCAGCCTCCAATACATCACCGATGAGGGCTTCATCTCCGTTGGGAACATCACAAAGCTTCCTGATCCACATCTGGTGCCGATTCTGTCGACATTGCGCTATTTTCCCGACAAATCGGCCCGGAAATACTGCTACATGATTCCGGTGCTTAAGGGAGGCAAATACATGGTGAGGACGACGTATTACTACGGCGGATACGACGGCGGGAAGACTCCGCCGGTTTTCGACCAGATTATAGAAGGGACCAAATGGAGCGTCGTTAACACGACGGATGATTACGCCAGTGGGTTGTCGTCGTTTTACGAGATTGTGGTGGTGGCGATGGGGAAGATGATGAGCATTTGCTTAGCAAGGAACCATCATACGGATCCGAGTTCGAGCCCATTCATTTCAGCTCTGGAGTTGGAGTATTTGGATGATTCTGTTTATAACACCACGGATTTCAAGAACCATGCTCTCAGTCTGGTTGCTAGAAGCAGCTTTGGACCTGAAGCTGATGTCATTGGGTAGGTAAAACTTCTCTGTTCTTGACAACATTTATCTTTTTCTTCAACTTTTTGTGTTCTGGATTGTGATCTAGCTTGATTTTGCTCGTGTTCAAAACCCAGATTGGAATTGATATGATCTGAAATGGGCATGTTTTGGATAGAAATCATGGATGTTAATGAATCCAAAACGTTCTTGTTGAGCTTTTCCATATGAAAAACCATTTTAGTTAGTGTCTATGATCTTGTTAAATAGACCATTTAGTAGAAACTTGATGTTGATACCGTTAGGAATCACGAACCTCCGCAATGGTATGATATTGTCCACGGTCCACTTTGAGCATAAGCTCTCATGGATTTGCTTTTGGTTTCCCCAAAAGAGCTTATAGACCTTATACCAATGGAGATGTATTCCTTACTTATAAACCCATGATCAACCCCTTGATTAGCCAGTGTGAGACTCCTCTCCCAACAATCCTCCCCTCGAACAAAGTACGTCGTAAAGCCTCCCCTGAGACCTGTGGAGTTCTCAAACAACATCCCCTTAGTTAAGGCTTGACTTCTTCTCTGGAGTCCTCAAACAAAGTACACCCTTTGTTTGACACTTCAGTCATTTTTAACTACACCTTCGAGGCTCACAACTTCTTTGTTTGACATTTGAGGATTCTATTGACATGACTAAGTTAAGGGCATGACTCTAATACCATGTTCGGAATCATGAACCTCCACAATGGTATGATATTGTCCGCTTACTTTTGGTGTATGTTTCTTTTCTTTTTATGTTGGGTTGTGGAGGTTGTAATTTCAATGAAGAACCTGTCCTGTCTCTAACCTTTTGATGAACTTTTGGGACTTGAAATTTGAATGTGGAGTTAGCTTTCCAGATGATGTATTCAACCGGCAATGGCATCCATTTCTTGATGAGCATCCAGTGGTAACATCCCATGTGAACATTACTCCTTCAACCTTCTGGAATCTGCCACCAACGAAGGTGTTTTACAATGGCATGACGACGAGCCGGGGAAAGTCGCTCAAATTCAACTGGCCTCCGTTCCCACTTCCAGAAGCCTACTACTACATCTCGCTATACTTTCAGGATAATCGGTCGCCGAGTCTTTATAGCTGGAGGGTGTTCAGTGTTGTAATAAATGGCAAGACTTTCTTTTCAAACCTCAATGTCTCTGCTAATGGTGTGTCTGTTTACAGTGCGAGATGGCCTTTGTCTGGACAGACCCTCTTAGAACTAATCCCTGCAGACAACATGCCTGTTGGCCCTGTGATTAGTGCTGGTGAGATCCTTCAGGTTTTTCGCCTCACTGGAAGAACGTTAACTAGGGATGGTACTGTTCTTCTTCATAAACTTTGATTAGCGTTTTCGGTTTCGTTATATTCATAAAACATCAAACAAAGTGGAAAAGGAGGCGTGTTCTTGTTCTTGTTGGTTTGACAAAGCTTCTGTTGTATTCTTTGACTAATTTGGTAGTGATGGCAATGGAGGACTTGGCACGAAGCTTGAACTACCCGCCCCACGATTGGAGCGGCGATCCTTGCTTGCCTAAGGATCATTTCTGGACTGGAGTTACTTGTTCAGATGGAAAACTTGCTCGAGTTACCACTTTGTAAGTTCTCTCAACACTGAATGTTAGGAACCACAACCCTCCATAATGGTATGATATTGTCGACTTTGAGCATGAACTCTCATGGTTTTACTTTTGGTTTCCCCAAAAGGCAGTTCCCTCCCAACAATCCTCAGCAATCCTCCCCTCGAATAAAGTACACCATAGAGCCTCCCCTAAGGTCTATAGAGTCCTCGAACAGCCTTCCCCTAATCAAGGCTCAACTTCTTCTCTAGAGCCCTCAAACAAATGGTACGAACAAAGTATACCATTTTTTCAACACTTGAGTCATTTTTTACTACACCTTTGAGGATCACTATTTCTTTGTTCGACACTTGAGGATTCTATTGACTGAGCTAAGCGAAAGGCATGACTCTGATACCATGTTAGGAACTACGAACCTCCACAATAGTATGATATTGTCCACTTTGAGCATAAACTCTCATGACGTTGCTTTTGGTTTCCCCAAAACGTCTCATACCAATGAAGATATATTTCTTATTTATAAACCCACGATCATTCCCTTAATTAGCCTACGTGGGACTCCCAACAATCCTCAACAATTTAGCCAACGTGGGACAATCCTCAACGTTGGCTAATTAAAGGAATGATCATAGGTTTATAAGTAAGGAATACATCTCCATTGGTACGAGACGTTTTGGTAAACCAAAAGCAAAGCCATGAGAGTTTATACTCTAAGTGGACAATATTATACCATTATGGAGGGTCGTGGTTCCTAACATGATCCACCTCTCAATTAGCCGACGTGGGACTGTGATCAACCTCTTAACTAAGAATGGGTATTGAACTTTTTCTCAATTTTTTGAAGGAATTTGACAAACTTTGGCATATCTGGGACGCTTCCTCCAAGCATAAACAATTTAACTGCGCTCTCTCATCTGTAAGTAATTTTCTTTCTCATTGTCAAACGTAGATATGTATTTCTTGATTGATGACTGCAATTGTGTTTGCAGTTGGCTTGGTAACAACAAGCTCTCAGGCATTATTCCTGATATAGGTTCATTGAAGGAGCTACGAACACTGTACGTTTTCCATTCGATACCTCGTTTACTTCTCTCGAACGTTCTTACCCGTTTTATAACTCTGTTTTGTTGATCAAGGCATCTGGAAAACAACCAATTTGAAGGGATAATTCCTCATTCGCTCGAGAAGCTTCCGCATATTCATGAAGTGTGAGTCTCGACCTTGATTCTTAGCTGCAATATGATCTTCATTCTTCATCTGAACTGCCCTCATTAAGTTTGCTTACTCGTATTCAACGGCTTGATGTTTTGGAATAGAAAGATATTCGATGTCGATACCGACCCTTTCTCTCCATGTAGTTTCAAGAGATGATCCCCAATGGGTTTTTTGATCGATGACTTTTATGATTACAGATTTCTCCAAAATAATAACAATCTTAAGTCGAAAGCTCTCGAAGCACTGCAGAAGCTAGGCATACACATCGAGTAAGAACACGGATATGTGCACTTCAAGTTCGGCTTCATTAGCAATCTTTGATCTGATGTTCTTCATTTTGTTACACTCTGTTTTGTTGATGCTTAGGCTGTAGAAGCAGAAATCTATATGGCTATCTCAAAGGATGGAAGAGACTATATGAAGAAGCTTAAGAGTTGCAGTAATTGTTGCAGAATTGGCAATCATATTATCATATTGTTATTTTAAAAAAAATATATTTTCATATGTTCTTGAGTTCTACAATGATATATCGATGAAATATTTAGATGTGAATATAATATTAATAATAGTTTATTTATTAATTTAATATTTTCTTAATTTTTAATTTTCAAGAATTTTCTTTAAAAGAATCCATTCATATTGTCATTTTATCGATATTTTTACTACATTTTCATGAAATTTGGGAGCTCGAGATTTTAATTTAAACCTTGCTTAAAACTCATTAGGGTACATTTAAGCCTACCAATAATAAATATTGTTTGCTTCGGCCAGTTATGTATTATCGTTAATTTCACGATTTTTAAAACGTGATTGCTAGGGAGAGGTTCTCCCTCCAATCGATGTGGAACTTCACATATCTAGTCTATGAAGTTCGACATATTAAATTCAATGGCTCAATGAGTCAACGGTAGAGTCGAGAAGTTTGAAAATTAGAGTTAGTATATATCAACAAGAATACTTTATTCGAACATTCTAAAAAAAAATAAAAGTAGAGTTTATTCCTAAAGATCACTATAAACACACTCACTTTTACATATTCTTTATGGTTTAGAGGCAACTCTTACGGCACGAAAATAATTTATCAATTAAGAATCTACGCATACTCAGATCAATTAAGAATCTACGCATACTCTACTCAGATTCATGCCATGTGCATACTCAGATCAATTAAGAATCTATGCATACTCAGATTCATGCCATGTGCATACTCAGATCAATTAAGAATCTACGCATACTCAGATTCATGTCATGTAAAAATTATATTATTCGCTAACCTTTTCTAACATGTGTCTAAAAATTATATTATTCGCTAACCTTTTCCAACTCTTGTGCCAAATTTGTTTTAAAAAGAAGAATAAAGTGAAGGGAAATGAAAAGATATGAAGAGACTAAAGCAGCATAGAGGATTTTGTCCGCTCTATTTGGTTTGGTTCGACAAATATGTTGATCATTTTAGTATTACGTGTTAGTGACTCTAATTGAAGATGTCTATTTACTCGACCTTGTGGAGACCTACCTCGAACGGAGTGAAAGATTTTTATTTAAATGTGGAATGGAGAAGAGAGTCTAGAGAGATTTTTCACTATTTGCGAATGAGATCAAGGACAGAGATTATTCTCCTCCCCCACCCTTATTTATAAGGGAACCCATCCCCATGAATTCTTGGTGGGGATCCCGGTCTCAATTTCCGCAAGAATAAATATTTTTGGAGATATGGAGATTGAAATAAGAGGTAAATGAGGAAACATTCTGCGTCTATACCCGGTCCGCTTCAAGGACATCTCTTCACGTAAACATGAAAGAATTGTTAAATGATACTAGGAGACATCCTAAGAGTAAAAATATTAAATAGAATGGAAGTGAAATGTGGGTAAAATCAGCCATAAAAATAGAAACCAAGCTGAGGATGAAGAAGGGCAGAGAAAAGTAGAAACTTTGTAAAGAATCATATTCTTTTCTTTCTTCCACCACAAGTTTTCAGTGAATCAAACCCATTTTTCACCATTTAAACCCTTCAAACCCATCTGTGTTCATCTTAAATTTCAAGATCGATCTTCCTTTGTTTCTTACAACAAAGAAAAAAAAGACCAGAGCAAGCAATTTTTCAGTGCTTAAACCCTTTAAATTCATCCGGGTCGAGTCCTCTGTTTCAACAACAAAAAAAACAGAGCTACACTGTTTTTGGTAGTGAACCACTGAAAATCCATCTGGGTCCGTCTGAAATTTGAAGATCAATCTTCTTTTTATTCGGAAAAAAAAAAAAAAAAAAAACAGAGTAACCCAAACAGAAAAATGCCAATGAACTCGAACCTCCTGGACCTGCAATACAGTGTCTTAAAGAAAAAGTTCCTCCGGGAACCCTCCCGTCTGTTCTCCTTCAAGAACCGACAGAGCTCAGGACTCCGGCGGGCGTTGCAGCCGAGCACGGAGGAGATAAAGCAGATCTTCAAATGGTTCGACACTAACAGAGATGGGAGGATCTCAAAGCATGAATACAGGGGAATTCTGGAGGCACTGGGGAGAGGGAGCTCCATGGAAGAGGTGCAGAAGATTTTCAAGGCAGTGGACACAGACGGCGATGGTTACATAGACTTGAACGAGTTTATGGAGGTTCACCGGAGCGGAGTTCAGACTGGAGAGGTGGAATCTGCTTTCGAGACGTTTGATGTGAATAGGGATCGGAAGATTAGTGCAGAGGAAGTGATGAGAGTGTTGAAGGGATTGGGGGAAAAGTGTAGCATTGAGGATTGCCGGCGGATGGTCAGGGCGGTGGACAGGAACGGCGATGGCATGGTGGACATGGATGAGTTTATGACAATGATGACTCGGTCTGCAAAGTATGTTTAGAGGATGAGTGTTTCAACTTTTAAGGTTCTTTATGGCGTTTGATTGTTAAAAAGTGTTAGTATAATGTAAAGGCTTTGTATAAATTCCAACTTCTCTTTTAGTTAAACTGCTTCGGGTGGACCGAAACACGATAACAATGTCATTTTTTATAAGCTTACAAACACTACTTTCACTTGTAAGTTTATATGTTTTGTTACCACTTTCTTCTACTAATGTTGTAATAAACCAAGTCAAGGCTTAGAACTAGCTAGGATTCAAGTGATTCTTTCAACCTAATTGAAAATGAGGAGAAAACAAATTTCAAACCCAGTAATTACCACTGGGACGTTTTCTTTTGCTAAAAGCTTACTAATCATCTATCAGGAGAAGAAAACTAGCACTTTCCAATTCAGTTCCAACAATAAACAGCAGGAGAAGAAGGAAAAAAAAAAAAAAGGATGATAAGACGAATGATTAAATATCAGGATAAGAAGAGCGTACATTATAAATCAATGGCTAGCTCGTCTCCAATCGGTACCTTGTTTCGTGCTTCACTTAAGGATATTGATGATCTAACACTTTACATCGAGCTGCTATTGGGAAGATAAACTCATCAGGTACATGTTGTGGTGTGTTCAAGAATGATGGTTTACCAGTAATCCCCACACGAACATTTACCATCCTTAAAATGATGAAACCGTTTGTTGTCCCTTACAATCAACTCTCTCCCAACAATCCTAGACATGATTTTGATGGCATTGTGACAGTCACCACAGATCCGTAGGTTCTTAATGATCCTAAGAGGCGTTCGTGCCGGAGTACTGATCAATCCATATGCAATTGCCAATCGTTCACTATGATACAGCAATGCCTGCTCTTTGGCCTCTTGATCAATATCGTGAAGAACATATCTAGTATCTGGCACATACCCTTGTTCTTTCATTGCCTTCAAAGCCTTTAATTTTTCATCATCTTTGTAGAGAGTTGGATTTCTGAATTCAACAATCCTGTTCTTCCCATCAAGCATGCTAATTGCAAATCGCTTCTTGGGAGGTGGCGTCGGTATCTTGTTAGAGGCAGCTTTCGTTGGGTCCAGATCAACAATTAGCTCCTCTGCATAGTCCTCAAGATCAACATCTCCATGAATTCTAGCATAGTTCTTCAAAGTCTCCCATACCTCGACTGTGGGCTCCATGGGCAGTTTTTCGACATACTCAAAAGCCTCATTGATGTGTCCGGGTTCTCCAAGAATACCTAAAAGCCCCAGATAATGATCCATGTCTGGATTGATATGGTAATCATTTTTCATAGACTCAAAGTACATAAATCCTTCTTCCACAGCACTGGCACTAGCACAAGCAGACATAACAAAAAGGAAAGTTTGTGAATTGGGATGCAATCCCAGCTTCTTCATGTTCTCAAATAACTCCAGACCCTCATCACCCAATCCATTATCCGCATATCCTTTTATCATCAGATGCCAAGACTCAATACTCCTATCAAGCATATGGTCGAACACTCTCTGTGCATCGCTCATGCTCCCACATTTCCCATACATCTCAAGCACTTTATTATTCAATTGCAGATCGCTTCTACAAGTTGACTGTAGAAAGTAATCATGAACTACTTTAGCATTTTCAAATGACTTCGACTTCCCACATAATTCAAAGAACTCATGGAAACAATCAGCATCAGCTTTAACACCTTCTTTCAATAATTCAACAGCTTCTTTCAACTTCCCCTCTCCACAAAAGCGCCGCAATTCATCAATAGGAGATACAAGCGCATTTGGTGTGTGATTTTGAGCACCATGCCCTTGAATCCCAGCCTGATTATTCAACTGATAAGAATTCTCTGCTTGTAGGTTCCGCTGACCAGGCTTTCCAAATTGTGGGAGTCCCTGATTTTGATTGCTCCATTGGTTAGGGGCTCTTTGTTGCTGATAATTGAAATTTTGAGGGTTCGGCTGCGAAGGATTTTGATACTGCGGGTAGCTCTGATTTGGAGGATTCCACGAATTAGGGTTACCGCCTTGAGTATAGCTCTGACCCTGCCGGGGAAATCCAGGATTGGGGTACGAGCTCTGATTTTGACTCCGATAATTCATTTGATTACTAGGACTTCCCTGTTGAACATAGTCGCGATTCTGAAACTCCGAGAACGACTGGTTATTAAAATTTCCACTCGGACGATGAACCTGGCTCGGCGAGCCCCACTGACCCTGAAGATATCGAGGGTCAGACGAAGAAGGTTGTTGCGGCGGTGTAGGGAAATTGGAGAAATCGTCAGGGAACGCCGAGGTGCTTAGGGCTTTGATTAGGGTCTCTGTTCGGTTTCCGCAAGAGAAGGTGAAAGTTGAAGGGAGAGGAGACCGTACCTTGATGAAGGAGGAGATATGAATGGGGGTTCGAACACGCCGGACCGCCATGAGAGACGCCATTTCTGATCGGAAAAGGCCTAAACCCTAAGGAAAGGTTCAAATAAACCTCCGTTAATGCAGCTTGAGAGGCGAAGAAAAGAAACTTGACAACTGTTTTTCACAAACTTACATTGGGCTTATACCTAGGCCCATTTTCTTAAAGCGGCCCAATTTGAAATAAATACGTTTAATATTAGTACCATATATATACATAATATATATATATATATATATATATATATATATATATATACACATATGTG